GGTGAGGGGTGTAAAGTAAGAACGTGTGGTAGGAGGGAGGCTTCCCCTGGGCCTCAGCCAGCCCGCAGCTGGCTCCAGCACCCTGCTTGCTTCTGTGTGCCCGCAGATTCTCAGCAAGTGTGCAGATGGGGGGAGGGGGGGACTTAGGGCAAGAAGAACCTGTCCGTGTCAGGGAGGACGTGACAAGGCGGAGGGAGGTGGCAGCGGCGTGCCTCAGTTCCTGTGCCTGTTTGGGATTACCAAGACTCGAGCTAAGAATAGCTTCTATATTGATCTCTCCTCCCTGTCCTGTCCTCCAAAAGGCCAGATGAGGCAGAGGGGGGCCGAAGCAGGAAGTCAGAGGGGGAGTCCACGCTTGTTAGTGGTTGCAAACTGGCTTCTACTCATGTCATTCCGTTCGGCCCCGTCCCTGGGACCCCCATGGCGGCAGCTTCCCAGTCACCAAGCCAAAAAGCCTGCCTCGGACCCCGGTGTCCTCAGCCTCACGGCCCGCCGCCGTGAGGACCACCCTTTGTGACGCTCTTTCCTCGCTCAGCCTGCCAGCGCTGTCCTGCCTTCACCCTCTCCGCCTCCCCTGCTCCAACCTTCTCGTTCCTGCCTCCTCTTCATAGGGGCATCCTCTCCTGCTCTTCCTGCTGCCCCTCTGAGCCGTCTGGTCTCAACTCTCACCCCCTCGCCACGACTGCTTCCTCGTCCAGCTCGGGAACACCATTGCCAGCCCTCACCGGGTGCCTCAATCGCTGCACAGCTTTTAAATGGTCTCTCTGCCACCTGACGCACCACCCACCCCTGCTCCACAATGTCCGTTTCTTCAGCCTGCCTCACCCTACCACACACCCAGATCCTGTCACATGGTCGCTAGCAAGCACATGGCTTTCCAGGCTCCTGCTCAGTCCTGAGAAGGCCCTTCCCAGCCCCAGCCCTATAGCGCTCTTCAAGACACTGGCGAACTGCGGCCCTGGCCATTCAGCAAGCACGCGTGTCCATCTCTGTTCATGAGGTTCCCACGGCCTAGCATGCCCTCCGGACCGTAGTCGCCTTGCCTGCCCCGTGACTTCCCCGCTCTCCGGGGGAAGCAGCAGTGTCCACTGTGCTGGTCTCCTCGGCTGCACCGCCCTTGCCCTCTGGCACATATCACAGCTGGTCCAGACTGTACTTATTGATGCTTGTGCCATGGATCTGCTGGATAGCAGTGCCGCAGATGTGGAAATAGTCTGTCTTGGCCCCCCTCCCCCGTACTCAGCACAGTACATTATGCAGAATAAGGACTTATTGAGGCAATAAACCATCAGAAGGCCGAAAGACGTCTGTCATAGTGTAGTCCCTCACAGTGGGGGCAGGATGAGAAGCCAGAATCCAGCCTTTACCCTCCATCCTTACGTGTAGTTGGGTGGGGACGGGCCCTAAGCACTTCATCCAAGGATTTATCCATTCCCTATTCTGTACAAGCACTGTGCTAGCCCCTCAGTTAATTAAAAAGATGGACAAGATTGCATCGTCCCCTGTCAAGCAGTTGGGGTGCGGGGGGGAACCCATGAAGAGGCACTTCTCCCTGGGGCTTCTGGAACTCTCTCTCTTACAGATAAGATAGCAAAGCAGCACCTGGCACCTCCCCAAAGAGTGAAGGAGATGGGAGCTGTGGGAAGTGAGAACACTGGTGTGCAGTGCTCTGGCGATGGCCAGGCAGCGTGCAAGGCTGGCTCCCATGGAGCCCCTTCTTTCGGGGATAATATTATTCCCGTGTCATGAGTGAGCGAGTTCAAAACGCAGACATGTGAAATCAGCCACGGTCACGGCCAGTGCGCCCTACAATCTAGATCCTCCTGCCCTCAGTGCCTCGGCTGGGAGGTTCTCCACTCCCCACCCACACACGATGGGTTCTTCGGGGGTGAGGGCATGGGGTGAGGCAGGTGGGAAGTGCTGGGGTTTGCCATGATCTTTCAGAACAAGCAGGATTTCAGCCAGCAAAGAAGGCACACAGGGGAAAACTGAGTGAAAACAGCATGAGAAGAAGGCCTTGAGGTGGGAAAAAGTGAGGAGTGCTGGGGAGGTGAGAGTGGATCTGAGTGTGCTCAGGGGGAGGTGAGAGGGGATCTGAGTGTGCTCAGGGGGAGGTGAGAGGGGATCTGAGTGTGCTCAGGGGGAGGTGAGAGGGGATCTGAGTGTGCTCAGGGGGAGGTGAGAGGGGATCTGAGTGTGCTCAGGGGGAGGTGAGAGGGGATCTGAGTGTGCTCAGGGGGAGGTGAGAGGGGATCTGAGTGTGCTCAGGGGGAGGTGAGAGGGGATCTGAGTGTGCTCAGGGGGAGGTGAGAGGGGATCTGAGTGTGCTCAGGGGGAGGTGAGAGGGGATCTGAGTGTGCTCAGGGGGAGGTGAGAGGGGATCTGAGTGTGCTCAGGGGGAGGTGAGAGGGGATCTGAGTGTGCTCAGGGGGAGGTGAGAGGGGATCTGAGTGTGCTCAGGGGGAGGTGAGAGGGGATCTGAGTGTGCTCAGGGGGAGGTGAGAGGGGATCTGAGTGTGCTCAGGGGGAGGTGAGAGGGGATCTGAGTGTGCTCAGGGGGAGGTGAGAGGGGATCTGAGTGTGCTCAGGGGGAGGTGAGAGGGGATCTGAGTGTGCTCAGGGGGAGGTGAGAGGGGATCTGAGTGTGCTCAGGGGGAGGTGAGAGGGGATCTGAGTGTGCTCAGGGGGAGGTGAGAGGGGATCTGAGTGTGCTCAGGGGGAGGTGAGAGGGGATCTGAGTGTGCTCAGGGGGAGGTGAGAGGGGATCTGAGTGTGCTCAGGGGGAGGTGAGAGGGGATCTGAGTGTGCTCAGGGGGAGGTGAGAGGGGATCTGAGTGTGCTCAGGGGGAGGTGAGAGGGGATCTGAGTGTGCTCAGGGGGAGGTGAGAGGGGATCTGAGTGTGCTCAGGGGGAGGTGAGAGGGGATCTGAGTGTGCTCAGGGGGAGGTGAGAGGGGATCTGAGTGTGCTCAGGGGGAGGTGAGAGGGGATCTGAGTGTGCTCAGGGGGAGGTGAGAGGGGATCTGAGTGTGCTCAGGGGGAGGTGAGAGGGGATCTGAGTGTGCTCAGGGGGAGGTGAGAGGGGATCTGAGTGTGCTCAGGGGGAGGTGAGAGGGGATCTGAGTGTGCTCAGGGGGAGGTGAGAGGGGATCTGAGTGTGCTCAGGGGGAGGTGAGAGGGGATCTGAGTGTGCTCAGGGGGAGGTGAGAGGGGATCTGAGTGTGCTCAGGGGGAGGTGAGAGGGGATCTGAGTGTGCTCAGGGGGAGGTGAGAGGGGATCTGAGTGTGCTCAGGGGGAGGTGAGAGGGGATCTGAGTGTGCTCAGGGGGAGGTGAGAGGGGATCTGAGTGTGCTCAGGGGGAGGTGAGAGGGGATCTGAGTGTGCTCAGGGGGAGGTGAGAGGGGATCTGAGTGTGCTCAGGGGGAGGTGAGAGGGGATCTGAGTGTGCTCAGGGGGAGGTGAGAGGGGATCTGAGTGTGCTCAGGGGGAGGTGAGAGGGGATCTGAGTGTGCTCAGGGGGAGGTGAGAGGGGATCTGAGTGTGCTCAGGGGGAGGTGAGAGGGGATCTGAGTGTGCTCAGGGGGAGGTGAGAGGGGATCTGAGTGTGCTCAGGGGGAGGTGAGAGGGGATCTGAGTGTGCTCAGGGGGAGGTGAGAGGGGATCTGAGTGTGCTCAGGGGGAGGTGAGAGGGGATCTGAGTGTGCTCAGGGGGAGGTGAGAGGGGATCTGAGTGTGCTCAGGGGGAGGTGAGAGGGGATCTGAGTGTGCTCAGGGGGAGGTGAGAGGGGATCTGAGTGTGCTCAGGGGGAGGTGAGAGGGGATCTGAGTGTGCTCAGGGGGAGGTGAGAGGGGATCTGAGTGTGCTCAGGGGGAGGTGAGAGGGGATCTGAGTGTGCTCAGGGGGAGGTGAGAGGGGATCTGAGTGTGCTCAGGGGGAGGTGAGAGGGGATCTGAGTGTGCTCAGGGGGAGGTGAGAGGGGATCTGAGTGTGCTCAGGGGGAGGTGAGAGGGGATCTGAGTGTGCTCAGGGGGAGGTGAGAGGGGATCTGAGTGTGCTCAGGGGGAGGTGAGAGGGGATCTGAGTGTGCTCAGGGGGAGGTGAGAGGGGATCTGAGTGTGCTCAGGGGGAGGTGAGAGGGGATCTGAGTGTGCTCAGGGGGAGGTGAGAGGGGATCTGAGTGTGCTCAGGGGGAGGTGAGAGGGGATCTGAGTGTGCTCAGGGGGAGGTGAGAGGGGATCTGAGTGTGCTCAGGGGGAGGTGAGAGGGGATCTGAGTGTGCTCAGGGGGAGGTGAGAGGGGATCTGAGTGTGCTCAGGGGGAGGTGAGAGGGGATCTGAGTGTGCTCAGGGGGAGGTGAGAGGGGATCTGAGTGTGCTCAGGGGGAGGTGAGAGGGGATCTGAGTGTGCTCAGGGGGAGGTGAGAGGGGATCTGAGTGTGCTCAGGGGGAGGTGAGAGGGGATCTGAGTGTGCTCAGGGGGAGGTGAGAGGGGATCTGAGTGTGCTCAGGGGGAGGTGAGAGGGGATCTGAGTGTGCTCAGGGGGAGGTGAGAGGGGATCTGAGTGTGCTCAGGGGGAGGTGAGAGGGGATCTGAGTGTGCTCAGGGGGAGGTGAGAGGGGATCTGAGTGTGCTCAGGGGGAGGTGAGAGGGGATCTGAGTGTGCTCAGGGGGAGGTGAGAGGGGATCTGAGTGTGCTCAGGGGGAGGTGAGAGGGGATCTGAGTGTGCTCAGGGGGAGGTGAGAGGGGATCTGAGTGTGCTCAGGGGGAGGTGAGAGGGGATCTGAGTGTGCTCAGGGGGAGGTGAGAGGGGATCTGAGTGTGCTCAGGGGGAGGTGAGAGGGGATCTGAGTGTGCTCAGGGGGAGGTGAGAGGGGATCTGAGTGTGCTCAGGGGGAGGTGAGAGGGGATCTGAGTGTGCTCAGGGGGAGGTGAGAGGGGATCTGAGTGTGCTCAGGGGGAGGTGAGCAGTGATCTGAGTGTGCTCAGGGGAATGTGAGTGTGGGTCTGAGTGTGCTCAGGGGGAGGTGAGCAGTGATTTGAGTGTGTTTAGAGGGAGGTGAGATTGGATCTGAGTGTGCTAGGGGAAGGTTAGATTGGATCTGAGTGTGCTCAGGTGGGTGAGAGTGGATCTGTGTGAGCTCAGGGGAAGGTGAGCAGTGATCTGAGTGTGCTCAGGGGGAATGTGAGTGTGGGTGTGGGTGTACTCAGGGGGAGGTGAGTGTGGGTCTGGGTGTGCTCAGGGGGAGGTGAGTGGGGGTCTGGGTGTGCTCAGGGGGAGGTGAGTGGGGGTCTGGGTGTGCTCAGGGGGAGGTGAGTGGGGGTCTGGGTGTGCTCAGGGGGAGGTGAGTGGGGGTCTGGGTGTGCTCAGGGGGAGGTGAGTGGGGGTCTGGGTGTGCTCAGGGGGAGGTGAGTGGGGGTCTGGGTGTGCTCAGGGGGAGGTGAGTGGGGGTCTGGGTGTGCTCAGGGGGAGGTGTGTGTGGGTCTGGGTGTGCTCAGGGGAATGTGAGTGTGGGTCTGAGTGTGCTCAGGGGGAGGTGAGCAGTGATCTGAGTGTGCTCAGGGGGAATGTGAGTGTGGGTGTGGGTGTACTCAGGGGGAGGTGAGTGTGGGTCTGGGTGTGCTCAGGGGGAGGTGAGCTGTTGATCAGTGTGGCCTGAAGTGAGTTTGCAGAGAGCATCAGCAGGCAGTGATGGGGTCACATTTTGGAGTTTGGTCTTTGAGCTTTGGCAGGAAGGGGAGTGAGCAGGTGCAATTGTGCGGTCGGGTTTGGGATTTGAGGCAGCATGCTGGGGGCTGGAACTCTGGGGTCCAGGAGACAGAGGGTCTGGTGACTGGATATAGGGGGACAGGTTTCCAGGCTCATGGTGATAAAGAGTGTCTTCGAGGCCCTCATCCTTCCTCTATTCCTCGGCGCAGTTCTCTTCTCCTTGGGCCCAGGGGCCCTAGTCAGCCTTTAGGAGTTAATGTTTAGGCGGCAGAGGCACAGGGGGGCATCCCTGGTGCTCCCCCTCCCTGGCAGGTTCGTGCTTGGGGCGGGGCAAGGGGCACTGGAGTGAGACGGAAAGGACAGCGAGCCTATTGCACAGGCCCCGGGAGGCCTGTTCAGTCAGGACATGTGGCACCAGTGACCTTGCTGGGGAAAGAAGTCGAGAACTAGGTGTGCAGGCCGGGCACCTCCTGTCCGGGCACCCCTGTGGTGAACCCCCGCGCCCATCCTCAAGGCCTCAGGCACTCCTGGGCTCAAAGGTACGCTAGTGCTGCCACCAGCCCTCTGGGGATGGCCACGCAGTGCCCGGGAAGCCCGCCCTGGGGCCGGGCTAACAGGCACCTGGTCTTCAGTGTTGCCTGCTTCTGGGGGAGGTTTTTCCCTCATCTCTCATCCCTGCCTGATGGGGAGGCAGGCAA